TGGGTGGAAAGAAGACAGGAGTTTCCGAACGTGTAAGAAGTGGTAGTTCTAACGAAGGTACAGTGATATCGTGGCAGTCATCGGAGGGAGGAGGTGCCTGGAGGCGTGGAATGAGCCCGTTTGCGATGTTTTTCACTATTGGTAGTTCTCCTCTTGAACCAGCCACTATTGGTTAAACACGCGACCGCGGGGTAGTTCGTTCCACTTCTTTGTCACTGCGCCACCAGATTATGACTATATCATTCATGATGAACGTTAATCGGAAAAAATCGAACAAAATTTTTCTTTGCAGAATACGATCTTTTCTACCCCAGCAACTAAATAAGACCCGTCCCACTGACTTGCTTTAACGATGATGCACATTGTATTTAATATGTATTATACGATTTCAGGTATGGATCATTCTTAACATCCTAGCGCTGATGCTAGAGATGGGCTCAAAGTCGCTGTACACATCAGAGTCATTCCGACAAATGCGAGAGAAGACGATTAGCGACGTGAACTTCCGACGCCTTCTTGCCGCATGTCAAGTCCTACCGTTCGCCTTCGGACTCTACTCCAATATGTATTTCTTGGGTGGATCTGAAGTCGGCGGATTATTCAAGAAACAAATTCTCGATGGCGAGACGTTTCCTTTGAGGTGAGTCCGTTCGAGGCGTATCGTTTTTCAGATGAAAGGATTAATAGCTTAGCGTAGAGGGGGCAAAAGTTGCACATGAAGTGCGTGGAACTCAATAGACCCAGTCTTATCGGGGTGGGGAGAGCTGCAATTTTAGCCAGAGATGATCTTCATATCGCAACAAGTGCAACGTGAGGCCTACAGTCCTTATGTTATATTCACCCCTTGTTATCTGCACCTTCCAACAGAAGTCGTCGAAATCCGACTGGAAATATCTCCTCAGAAGCCAGTGGTAAAATGGGGTTAGGAAATAAAAGAAGCATGACAAGATGTTCGGTGTTGGCATCCGTCGAACCATTACCCTAGCTTACATCCTAAGTGAACGTGCATGTGAAGGTCACCCTAAAAGTGGCCTACAGACCTTAGCCAAGGAAAAGCCATTTTCGCATGCGCCGCGTGAAAATCAGATTCTCTAAGCGGATTGCAAAGTGCGGTTACTGCGGCATTTGTTCCGTTCCAGAATACGGGACTCGCATGGAAAAAAAGACATATTCTGCAATTGCAGGCCATATGTGATGGGGTTCCAAAATGAAATAGAATGGGCTAATTGACAGACCGTCAAAGAAGGAATCAGAAGAGCTCGTCGAAAACGCCAAATGAGGCATACTTGATTTCTTTCATTGGATTTCACAGAGACGCTAAGCGGCATGGGCGAAAGAGCGAATCGCACGA